TATATATATATATATATATATATATATATATATATATATATATATATAAAAAATTTGTGGTGCAGTTTAATATTACAATGAATCATTCATACAAAAAGTAAATTAGTAAAGTTAATGATATAAAACTGCGAAATCTCTTCGTTAACAAAATTTTAAAGAGACATTTTGTCGGGAAGACCAAATGATATTAGCGTCTATTCTAACGTAATTTCAATGAAGAAATAAATTGAATAACATATGTATTTTTTCTTTTCTCCTCAGTATTTTTATAATTTTAAACTTAATAGAGATTAAATTTAGATTCAAAAATTGGTAATTTTTTACTTTTAATTTTAATATTAAATTTTATCATATAATTTAATATTTATTGGTTAAAATAATTTCTTTTTTAATATAACTCCAACTTTAAAGCTCTTAATAGCTATTATAACCTTACTTCATTGTCAAGTTTTTTGAATTTTCCTATACTTGTGTTTTGATTGGTCATTCTAGCTTTTGTAACAGCGTTTTCCCCTTGCGAAGGATCGTTAATTAATTTGAAACTTTTAAAACCATTTATTTTACATTCAACATCATCACTTGATAAGACACCAGGGGTGTTGAAACAAAATGGCTACTTTTGTAGTGTGTAGTGATTTTCTAACATATTTATGTTATAATTTTTAAATAAATAATTATACACACACACACACACATACATACACACACACACACACACACACATATATATATATATATAACAAAGCCACAATGTGCTAACCGTACTCGGAAATTAAAAACATCCCTACCACACACTATGACATACACATAACGCACACACTCAATTAAGCTGAAAAATCGAATCATCCTTGATAATGACTAAAAGTATATCCGAAAGCGCTCGGAAATATAAAACATTTGGACTTTTCTTACACACCCTTTGTCCAGAAAATAAAGTTCTTGTTCGAACACAAGAAAAATTAAATAAAAAGCTTAACCGTAGTAACTTGTCTGTCGTTTTTAATGAAACATGCATATATATATATATATATATATAATCAGTGAACATTAAAGTCAACAGCGAGCGGCAACAGTCTGTTTCATGTTTGGCCACAGTCTTCAGGTTTGTTTTTAACGTAATCTTCAGGCCATATTTGCATACGCTCTATCCCTGATATTGAGTCCTATTATCCATAAATATAACAAACCTTAAAAGTATATTTTTTATCTAATTATATATATGTGTGTGTGTTTGTGCGTGTGTGTGATAATAATATCATTAATACAATGCGGTAACACAGTCATCAAACGGATAAATAATACCCTTCCTATTTATTTTATATTTTAAGCTTTTAGCTCATTTTTATTTTTTACCTTTCCCTTATATTTTTACTATTACTATTCGTGGACATTGATACCTTAGTTAATTATATATTTTTAAGATTTTAATTTATATACATACATAGTTACACACACACACACACACACACACACACACACACACACACATATATATATATATATATATATATATATATATATATATATATATATTTTGTTGATAGATGTGAGTTTGTGACCCTGGGTCAAACTCACATCTATCCAACCAAATATGTTAGCTCTATCTCTGATATTGAGCGCTTTCTAATAAGTACCAGGATATAATATATAAATAATTATACATACTTATATTTATTTATATTTACATACACTTTTCATATATATATATATATATATATATATATATATATATAAGACACAACTTTCTCGTATTATCGGAAGTTCTGATATCAAATACATTCGCAGAACTCGGTACAGTTTAGATGTTATTGTCATATTTTAATTTAATTTTTTTCTGAGTTTTCCACATTATTATTATTATTATTATTATTATATAGCAGTATCTTTAACATTATTAATGATATCATGAACACTTTTTATTAATAACTCGGACTTTCCCTTATCTGTTCAAAACCATTTTTTTTGCTTTTCATCATAATTTTAGCCAACCCATTTTTTGGTAAATGAAAGTGTAAAAAAATTGGAATAATGAACTAGCTTCAGACGAAATTCGAAATTTCAACCTCTTTACCATGATCTTTGCTTTCAAGAGTCATTAATTTTCAAAAGCTTTCATGGTTAAACAAGTCGTCCATTTGTTGACATTTTGCTACCTCTTATCCAATTTTTCTCATGCAGTTTGGCTTGTGATCGTTGAAATTGTTTTCTTTGAACTTTCTTCTTCGGATGTTAAATTACAAGTAATAAGTCGTTTAGATATTCTGAGACGAAGTATTTTCATCCTAGTACATATTATTCGTTTAAAATTAGTTCCTTTTTTTTTGCAGTTACTTTTATCTATTAAATTACTCATTAGTGGTATAAAGGTTTTGGCATTATGTATAGACTGGAAATTATTTTTTTTTAAATGTATTAAACCGAAATGATTTAATATACTGAGACTAACGTATCAGCGTTTACTAAAGAAACATTTGAACTTTATTACAACTTACAGATGCTTGATGTGTGTACGCTCAGTGACGAGCACAACTTCTTCAGATACCGATAGTCTACCATGTGTTTTACAGTAATACAAGCATTCTCTTATTTCAAATTACTAGTATCAATCGTTCATGGATTTTCTAGTTCTTCTTTTATGTGCCGTGTCACTTCAGGGATTAGGCGATCATGGCTCATTACCTCGCCCTATCCTTTGTAGCTCCCAATAAGTTATCCCTTTGCAACTTATCCCAGAACCTGTTCTGTCATCCACTTGCTTAAGCCCGCTAGATATGTCACGTGTTGCTTTCCCTTGTCTCCCTTTCCTTCTATTCGCCCTATCAGATTCTCCAAGCCCTTCTTTCTCATTACGTGTCCTCAGCTGCCTCTTCTTGATGTTAAGTATAAGCTTCCTCCTTGTTTGTATCCTCTCTAAGACCTCATCGTTGTTCACACGCTCGGTCCATGATATCCTTAGCATCCTTCTGTAGAACGATATACCCTTTGCCTCGAGTCTCTTCTTTTCTCATTACGTGTCCCAGAAATTTTATCTGCCTCTTCCTGATGTTAAGTATAAGCTTCCTCCTTGTTTACATCCTCTCTAAAAATTCATCGTTGCTCACACGCTCGGTCCATGATATCCTTAGCATCCTTCTGTAGAACCATACCTCCGTTGACTCGAATCTCTTCATCTTTGAGGAGACCGTCCAACATTCACTGCCGTAAAGGAGGACAGATGTCACGTAGCAGTTCAGTAATCTTTTCTTTGTTACCAACGAAATACTCCTGTCTCGTAATACTTTGCCTAGCTTTTGGAATGCATCTTTATATTCTAAAATATCGTTGCAAAACAGGAATGATTTTGCTTAATTTAATAAGACAAAAGCCTTCACATCAGTATCAACATATATATTGTTTCACTGCTTGCCGAATGCTTACCGACATTGGAAAACCTGGTGCTTCTAAAATATTTATATATATTTATATTAAGTTGCTGTCATGAGCTTTAAGAGATCCTCTATAAAAGTGTCAATATCTTAAATAATGTCGGTTGAATAATTTTTTGAAAGTATTTCTTTTGTAACACCGCATATTTTTCTATTCTGTAAATTTTATTATAGGTTTTGAATACAAGGCCCAAGAGCAACCCAATGTAGAGGGTTATTGAATGATTGTTGTAAGGACGTAAAAGGAAGAGTTACATGTTATGGGGATATGTAGAATAGATAATGGTTGACCCTAGAATTGAAGAGGTCAAGACTGAAGAGGTCGGAAAAACATAATCCACATCTGTTTCACAAAGTGACAGTTCTGGAGAAGAAATTGTCCGAATGAGAATTTCTCCTTATCAAAGGAATACGAAGGGAGTGAGAATGATTTGACCCTGTGTACGTGGCATCGCAGATCCTAGCTGTGAAGGTCTGAACTGGTGGAACTAGGGAATGTAGCTCGTCTGAACAATTGCCATGGAAATAGCGATAGTCTAACGAGAGGCTAGCAACGTTTTGTATGAACAAAACTAGTCAAATCTAATAATAAGATATGTCAGAATGAAAAGAATATGAGAATCTCACAATTAAATAAGAGTATTACAAGCAATTTAATAACCGGAGAAAATATCTGCTAAATACGTTATGATATATATATATATATAGCTGGCCACTCGTATTCTAGGATGCCTGTCTACTAGGGAGGCTAACCAATCCCTATTGCAGACACTTGTTCAGGCGCATTTGTGTTTATTCAAAGCCCACCTGTGCTTTATACTGCAACTATGCTGAGCAGACCTTAGCTACAGTTTCTTGGAAAGTGCATGTTATCTAGCGTAATCAACAATTTGAACAAGGACAGTACGCTCAAGCCCTCGGCCACGATGACTTGTGACTTCGTGTTAGCAAAGGTATCGACGGCCCCAATTTCACTCACAAGGCTTGGGTCAACTCGTTTTCAGGTACTTTCCAAAAGTGCCGCACCCTCCAGTCCGATAACATCAGGAAGTTTCCTTTCTGACAAATCGACCATGGTGAGATTCGAACTCGGATCTCATGGTCAGAATGCGGACGTTCGGCTACGTGCCCACAACACAAATATGACGAAAGCAGTTAAAAGTAATAAATATTATGTTTAATGATGAAAATACTTCATCTCAAAATCTCTAAGCAGCTTAAGTAGTTAAATTAAATGCCGAAGAAGAATAGATCGGCTAAAAATCATTAAGGTAAAACGAAGAAATGAAAAAGCTCATTCAAATAAATTATAAATATGTATTTCAACGAAAATAATTTATCTTGAGAATATGGAAGCAATTAATATAATTGTTAGTTTAAAATGATTTTTTTTTATTGTAACCGCAAATATGAACGCTTGTTTATTTTTCACAAAAAATCCCGTAACAAATGATTGAACGACGCGCTTTGAGTTTGCGATCGCTTCTGCTGATAGTCTTCTTACCGAGGGTAAAATTGGTTGAAAGTTGGGGGTGAGTATTTATTTATTTTTGTTTGGTTTTCGGGTGCCACACTTCAGAGGGTGTAGAACACTGCAGTGGAAGAAAACAAAATGAGAAAAAAAGCCATTCACTACGTTAGAACGCCATTTCTTCATTTTTTTTTCAGGTCCAAGAAAGAAGAACAAAGTAAGAATGAAAAGATGGTGGAAAGAATGATTTGCACAAAAAAAGAAAAAGAAAAGAAAAAGAAAATGGAAGCGAACAGACGACATTGTTAATTGAAAACAAATGATTAAATGTCTTAGTAGTTCCCAGCTTATCCTTCAGCAAAAGATTTATTTTTTAAATTAAAGTTAATCATCATAACCTTTACTTCAAAGAAAAGAAAAATTAAATCTCGCAAAAAACAAAGTTTTAAAAAAGTTAAATTACAATCAATTATAAAGACATTAACTTTAAAATATGTAATTATTTAACAATATACTTCGTGAAACGAAAATAATTAACAAAAATCATACCAATTTTCCTTAGTCAAGGATATGGTTTAGAAATGTATGAAATAAAACTTAGAAAAATCAATTTGTGCAATTTAATCCGCAGAAGAGATGCAATAGGTCCAATCTGATAGCTGAGGTCTCTACGTTTTGATTCTATGTATGTCTTTTAATTATTTAGTGGCCAGTTTATATATATATATATATATATATATATATATATATATATATAAATATCCCAATTCCCAGGATAGAATCCAGGTAGAACTCAATGTCCGGGACAGAGTAAGAATATAATATAAAAGGTTCAAATAGTAATATTCCATGGTTATAATGTATTACACTGAAATCGTAATCACGATTCAAATCATCAGGCCTACAAATTCAAAAAGCTTTTTGAATTTGTAGGTCTGATGATTTGGATCGTGATTACGATTTCAATGTAATAAATTACAACCATGGAATATTAGTGTTTGACCCTTATATATATATATATATGTGTGTGTGTGTATTTGGGGAGTGTTTGTGTGTTGTGGAGTTTGTAATGAACTGTTCTCAGCGAAGATTGAGCACCAGTTCTTTTCTGTGAACGTACTTACATCTGACGGATACTGCAATGTTGCCTCCTTTATCTTTTTTAATCGCCTGTTGTTATATATGTGATGAAGGTTGTAATGAGCCATTTTCAGTGTGAGTTGGATTCCACTTGTTTCCTGTGAATTTTTTTGTATCCGATTTGATATTGTAATAAGAAATTTCTGATTTCTTAAACGGCAACATCTATCTTCCACTATGCATCAATCACAATGACTTTGACTTGACTTTAAATCGAGACTTGATATCACTAAAATGTCGACCATTTATACACCTTGGCCCTCAGCCGGAAAAAAATAGAAGGCATTGATATCGCAGTAGCAATAACAGTAGTTTTCATTCAACTATTCAACAGAATTTACAACTGTTACCAGAGGTCCATCCGTATCCAAGCCCAGATAAAAAAATTAAAAAAATTGTGTGTAGTGGGGAGGTCATTTTGAATGTTGATTTTCGCCAGTCAAGAACTTATATAAATGACTGTAACATCGTAATTTCTTTTTCCTGGTCTTTCTTTGTGTCGAACTAACATAAGAATCTAAGCATAGTGAATATTGTATATTGCCCCGTGGTTGAGGTAGCTGCTCTGTTCCTATCAGCGTTAGGGATCAGTAATCGAAATTGCAGAAGGATTGTGTTGCTTCAATCCTCCTCGTGAGATCTTGCTTAGGAATTAATCAATTGATTTCCTTACCTGTGATCAAAAACATTTTCAGTGAAAAAAAAAATGCTTCAGTCAAAAGTCAGACCACTATTTAATACTTTCACAAATTTTGAAAAATTGCATTTTTCAAGACTCGCTAGAATAATAATGATTTACAAGACAAGCTTTCTAACCACTATTCAACAACGAGATGCCCATATAAGCGTTCTATGAGCTTAACCTAATCTGGCACAGGGTCACGTTTGATGGGTACCCAGTGAGGAGAGAAATCACTACGGTAATAATGATTTTAACAATTTGTTTACTGTTTACTTGGCTTAGCCTAGTCTAGCACAAGTTTCCCATCAAGAAACCCTAGAGACCATAGCTAAATAAGTGTCGATTTTTTTCTTTCAAGAATGACACAAGATGGGCGCGGCGTAACGATTTAATTAATAGAATGACTGCAGTGTGTCAACGGAGTAATGTATTCGGTAAACCTCTGTACGAAAGGACATGATCCAACTTTCGCTTTCTTTAGACCGATCAGTATTCCTCGATGCACTTTGTAAGATGACAGTGCCGTTGCTGGAAACAGTCTTAGAACTTCTTTTCTGAAATATCTTCCAGTAATCGTGTTAAGTGTTGCTGGATATCAGGCATATCAGCAAACACTTCTTTTCAGACCATTTTTCAATTTTGGAAATAACTAAATATCACAGGGACTGTCTGGTGAATAAAATGAAATTGGATTTCTGAGTCAGGAACTCATCAAATCCTAATGGATCATGTGCAGTACTGTCATGGTGGAGGAGTAAATAGATTTAGTTATCAACCAGTTCACAGTCTACCTTGGTCTTTTCAACAGGAGTAGATGTTTATCCCTTGTTGCCTGTTTAGGATTCGATTTCCGGTTCCTTCTCAATTCTAATTCAACTTTATACTTCCAATGTCTCCGCTTAAACTCTGAAATTTTATTTACTATTTATTTTTTTTCTTCAATAGGTGTAGATCGCTTCACATATTGTCCAGTTCTTGTCGGTCTGTAAGAATGTTTCCAGCAACGGCATTGTCATCTTATAAAGTGCATCGAGGAATACTGTGAAAACGACAGCAGTCAATAGTGATCATGGAAGTAATGTCTTCTTTTACTGTGACATTCCTGTAGTTAGAATGTCACACCTTGGAAATGATTACCTTAAAACCCCAATCAACAAAAAGTAATTAACATATATACAAATGTAAATGTCTATCCGGTTTTGCAAGAATGTCTCGAATAGTCGCAGTTGTTTGTGCATACTCTATATATACATCGTTGTGTACACCCTTGTGCAAATTAATTGAAACAAAATGAATAATTCCGTTCTTATTTACTTTTTTTTTCGTATTTTTCCAATGAAACATGGCCCAGTGCCCATGTTAGTACTTCGTATATCCATTCCACGAAATCGTTCCTTAAATCAGGAGAGTTTCCGAGTCAGTCGATAGTACTTTGATTTGCTCACTGGTAAGGCTTGCTATTGTGTTCATGCAGCATTACATCACAGACAGTGGCCGTAGGACAACTAAACGACAGTTGAGACAACAGTGTCTGGGTGTGATTAAAATCTGATGCAATCACAGATGACGCAATATTTTTTCAAGGTCAAACAAATTTCATCATACTCCCCGAAAACAGATTCATATTACTGCACGCCACTGCAAATGACCTAATCTGAGGAAAAATAGAAATCGATTACACCCTGTTACTCCAGTGGGTCAAAATCTGACTAAATATGGTGAAAGAAAGGAAACTAAAGCGGTTGTTTTAATTAATTTGTACAAGGGTGTACTGTTGTAAAAGAGTCAAACATTACTTAGGTAAACGAGGTTTAAACAAAAGAGAAGATTTCTGTAATCGTCAATCATGTAAATTTAAGCCAGTTTAACTGACAACGTATAAGTGTGTTTAGTGGAAGAGAACAAGAAGAATGGGACATGTTTAGTTGTAAGCAAAAATAAATTGTACATTTTCAATAAAACTATCAAGTTGTTTAGCATGCTATTTGTGGGTTGATAAGAGCAATATGATAACATTATAGACCAGATATATATTAAAATGTTAACAGCAAAATGACAAGGGAATTTAGTATTCATGTCATTCTCTATATAACTAAAACGGAATGACATAACAATCGACAGGTAGAATTTGTAAGCATTTGCCAAGAAATGTCTCATTTCCTAAAATGTTTCACACTTCTTTAACAAAAACACACACATACAAACAACAAATACACGCACATATATAAAAGTGCATACTGAGGTCGAAACTGAGTGGCGCTAGTCTGTTTTATGTCTGAACGAAATCTTCAGGCCTGAGAGCTGAGTCTTCCCAGCTATTTAATCCATAGCTTAGTGGGTGGATTCATGCCTTTGTTATAGAATGCGTAGGCTGGCCCTAAATGGCGAATTGCTGGTCAGAACTCTGTTGACCCGATCTGAGTTGGAGCGTGGGACTCTGACAGAGATAGATTGTCTTTGTTTAAATTTTGGTATTAGATAAAAAAAGGTGCAAAGACAGTCAGGCACATACAAGAATCAGAAGGGTCAAAACACTTCACTGTACCCGGATTCCTTAGTGAGACAAGCCAGCATACGGTGAGGAGTAGTTGACCCACTGGTTGACACCCATCATTTCTATCTTTCTCTCTCTCCCTCCCTCTCTCTCTCCTCCTCTCTCCCCTTTTTTCTCTCTCCCTCTCTTTCTCTCTCCCTCTCTCTCTCTCACTTTTTTCAGGAAACGATATTACGACTACTGTCTCTTGCGAGTAAAAAGCAAGTTGTACGTTGTTGATTCAGTCTGTGATGTAGCGTTGGGGTTTGAAGAATTAAAACCAGAGACACACGAAACCCAGCAGCCTTTCTCAGTGGCATTGATGCGAAAATGAACGCAATGTCCTCAGACTAAATTTGAACTCGACTTGTAGATCCCACTTTCTCCTCCGATAATAACGCGCATATACCACCGTCTTTCGGGTAACTGCAACTTTATTTTCCTTAACTGTATTATCGTTCATTAGACTCTGAAAGCGCCTGGTGTCTATAATTATGTCACATGAAAGGAGACGCAAGAGAAAACAAAAGAGGCCTGCGCAGTTGCTTATCACTAAATCTTTTTTTTCGGAATGTTTTCTTTAGAACAAGTACTATGAAAACATGACATAGAGTCTGGTGATATACAAAGTTTTCAATGCGATTAGGCGACCATTGTGACTGTTTCGAAATGGAATCAGGCAATTTAATGGCTTCCCACATCACCATAAAAGTATGAAGCACACTATTTGTTGTAGCATACCTATGGACGATAATGGGTATGACCCCATTCACATAAATACTGTATGTTGGTCTGCAGTCGGAGATTCGTCTCCAGCTGTGCTGGTCAAACTATCCGCCTCGGGGCAGGGAGGATCCCCAAACGAGGCTATGTCGAAGGGCAGTCTTGTCTCGGGAAACAGCTACCCAACCCCGTTTTATACGAGGTCTACGGGAAATTTTTAGCTGAGCCTACGGGCTCGGATACCCCACATTAAATTCGGCCTTGTGCTACCTCTGATTGCGTGGGGCGGTTGGTAGATATCCTGCAGTTAGAGATTCATTGTGGAATTCACTTGACTCACTTCTAGTAGTTGACTACTTCTACGCGCCGCTGGCGAATCTTATATGTGTTGTTCTTGTCCTAAGTATTATCGTTCATTACCAACCTTCGTTTGGTTATTTTATTCAGTAACCTTCCCTAGGTAACAACACTATTATCATTAACAAGATTGTGTCAGTTGAGAAAGTGGAAAAAGCATACTGACAAATATATCCATGCGCGTATATAATGGCTTACGGCCACAGTACATTGAAACACCGGTTCATGTACGATCATCGAGCTTAAGCAACAACGAGCCTGGTCAGTAGCGAGATGGGTGACCGCTTGGGAATACCAGTTACTGTAAGATTGAATGTGTGAGTGGCGTCAGAATAACTCGGAATTGTTAATTCTTGTCGTGTTCGTTATATTAACTTACACGCAAATACCCTTGGAAAAGGTATGAATTCACCTCCGCACTTATAGGTTAATTAGTAAGATGTGTATCACTAAAACCATTATTATTATCCCCCCCCCCCAAAAAAAAATTGTGTACATAATATTTCTATTTCGGCATTAAATAACCGATAGAGTTTTTCAATAAAACAACCAAACCAATCATATCTAATATATATAAAATGATAAAATATAGTTTTTAATGTATGCAATATTCACGAAAAAAAGAGTCTAATATCAGGGGCAGAGCGTATTAAATATAAACATTATGGACATAGATATCAACACTGAATGGCGACAGTGTGCTTCATGTTTAAACGTGGATGTGCGGGTGATTTACTGGATAGCAGCTCAGAATGAGAAATCAGAGAAACAAGTTCGAATTCCAGTCGGGTTCGTTACCTTCACTTAGGCCCAAATACTCTTGGGAGAGGTATGAATCCAACTCCTTTCCCTCAACGACGTGTTAAATAATAGGACTTGTATCTGAAAAAATCTTTGTTATTCCCCACAAAATTGTTAATGCAATATTCACTCGCAAATAATTGTTCTTACAATCTACGAAAATATGTTTTCGGCTTTAAATAGCCTACAAAGGGTTGATAAGTCGTAAAAAAACAAATACCTCAATCTGTTCATATCTAAAGGGTGCGATGGATAAATTGTCGTCTAAATTACGGAAAAATGAAAATAACACATTTCATTTTAACAGATATATTTACCAAAATTACACAAAATTTCACATCTTGAAATACTAAAGAGTAAATTTATTCAATAAAATTACCATTGGCTTCAACCACGGCCTCCAGATGACTTCAGAATATCATGCAACTCTTCTAGACGGTCTCCTTGTTTAATCTGTTGAATGCTGCCATAATTTTTGCCTTCAGGACATCTTTGGTGTTACAAGGAGAGTTTTGGTTTCCCGCTCAAATTCGCCCCACATCAAGAAGGTTACAGTCTGGGGAGTTAGATGGCCATATGTAAGGGATGATGTGGTCGAAAAAATTGTCTGACAGCCATGACTGTGTTCTCCTGCTTGTGGTAGCATGGTGCAGAGTCCTGTTGTCAGATATAGTCTTCCAGCAGCCACCCTCTTGATCCAGGGCGGTACTACCTCCTCAAGGCACTTGAGTTAAGTCTGAGGCTCAGTAGGAAGATGAATGGAGTCATAACGTCGCCATCATTAATGATAATGCCAAACATCTTTGTAATCATCATCAGACTCATCCAAATCTTTCTGAATTCTCTGCACTGTCCTCAGACTGTTACCCAAACACTCTGAAATGTTTGTATTGAAGCTTCCAGCGCGAATGCTAAGCAGTACAGCCCGCCGTTTCCAAATTTCTGGCGGAGTGAACTGTATCATGGTGATCCTTTTCTCACAGACAGTGCTTAACTCACCCCACTATACTGTGCAGTCGACAAAATCAAAAACAAACAACGCACATGCGCGAAATTAAAAAAAAAATAAAATGGCGACAATTTAAATATCGCACCCTGTATTTTTTTAAAAATCATTTCACGCAAGGAAGACTGTAAAGCCACTAAGACACAATGGGTTACTGAATGTGAAATAATAAGCAAAAGAAAAACGTTATTAGGGAACGAGAACAATAAAAGAAGAGGAATCACGAATACAGTACATAACGATTGACATTGCATTTAAATTTCTGAAGACTAAAGTTGGCTGGAAAGCATACAAACAGAAGAGGGTTCAACAAGAGAGATCTATCTATCTATCTATCTATCTATCTATCTATCTATCTTAAAATTTCTTAATTAAGGCATGTAATCACAGCGATACACGATCATTTAAATCGGTAAGACCTGAAGACTCTTCGCCGTGAAGCAGTGTTTAGTAAAATGAATTTAAGCGCAGCACTAGATTGGCGATAAGGTCCCATCATTTTACATTTGAAATGGCTAGCTGTAACCGTAAGTTCTATGCTAATAATTTCTTCTGTTGTACTTCTCGCATGTGGAACTCTATTCTGTTTGTTTTTTTCCTTTCCAGCCAAGTTCGATCTTCAAAAATTGAAATGCAGTAAATAATCGTTATTTTCTGTCTTCTTAATTCATTTATTGTTCTTTTTCTTTCAACACTCAGTAATCCCTTGTGTCTTAGGGTCTTTGTTGCCTTGCTCGGAGTGAAATGGTTAAAAAAAATTGTCAGAATCGGAAAATATTAAATTTTTTTTTGTTATTTTAGAAGGGGGTCTGTTCATAATATAAATACAGAGTCAAATCGATCCCCGACTTCTTAAAGAGTTATCTACATTATTTTTAGTTACAAATGTCAAACTGTGCTTACGTCATTGAAAACTGCGTACTATTACGAATTTTGAAAACGGACAACATCAGCAGTGTGGTATTTAGAGACTGAACGCATGTCGAGCGAACATAACAATGGCGGTTTTAAAAATTTTCATTCCAGAAATGAGCTTATTTATGATAAATCTCAAGGAAAAAATTACTTATACAATTGAGAAAGATTATGGATGATAAACTACAAACAACAATTCGACTGCTTTCAAAAATCTACTCTGACTGCTTCTATTCATTTGGCTGCGATAAAAAAGTCTTATAAAAAGTAGACAAATTAATTCATCATAAACTGAGAGAAAATTTAATTTTAAGGTGTTCTCATTACTTAAAATAATAGAAGCCTATTTATTAAGCCTCGATTTGAAACAATGATTAGTTTCACTGAGTATTAATATTGTAGGTAATCCAATACTTACTGGATGGCCTTCTTACATATGAAGCTTAGTTCATATCAATAAATATAAAGGAAAAGTAACTATGATATTAATTAGTAAATGTTCAAAGGAGTTTTTCTCCACCAACACAACACCCAGAAGGTGGTCAGAAGGACCAATATATATATATATATATATATATATATATATATATATATATATATATATATATATATAAAGAAATAAAATTTTATCAAGGATATAGATTTTATTACTTTAAACTAAGAACTTCCAAAGATTTTCTAAAAAAGACCGTAACATGATGATAAAGGTTCCAAACTTGAAAAAAAAAGTTTGTCAAAATGTTTATGTTATTATTAAGAGGAAGGGCCAAAATATTTTTTGATTATTTTTAATCATTTCTTGCACGTTCGAAATTTTGGTTAAAATCTTGTTTTTCATGTGTCAGTGGGTGGGCCAAATATTACTTTGGGAAATTTAGCATTTTTTTTCTTTTGCGGTAAACACATTGTTTTGAAAATTCTTGCTAAAATCAAATAATTGTCGGATTTTAATGAAATTTTCAGGACCTATTCAGAAATGAATTCAATTATTTTTTTAATATTGTTTTTAGAAAATTTTGGTAAAAATCCTTTTTTTTTTTTTTTACATCTGTTACCCTCCACTTACTTAATTTTATCAGTTAGGAGCAGGACTCTTTGGAGAATTTGAATCATCAACGCTATTTACCGAAAATTTGCCCTGAATCGTAAAATAAAACTGCAATAAAACTATTTTAACTGCTGTTATGAATAAGATATATTAAGAACACTATTGTCTTAAGAAAATAAGTTCGGTGAATAATGAATTTTTACAAAAAATGTTTTCATTTCTTAAAAAATTTAATTAGAAATTCTGTATTAATTTCAGCGGTTTTAATCATATTATTATTAAGTGAAAACTATATTTACTAATCATAAATGGAAAAGCTTAATCCAAATCTCAAACACCAATATTTTTAAAATAATTTTGAATTTTTTATTAGTGTATAAACGTGCCTTTTTTGGTAAGTACGGATGACCATACACAACATTATCAGAAAATAAGAGCGATGACTATAGTAAATTTAAAGCCAACATTTCTAAAATTCAATAAAACATTAGATTACGGAGAATATTTTCGTAAATTTTTAACTGAGTACTTTGAAAAAATATGAAATAGGCGCTCACGTCATTTTCTTCAATTATGTTTTGCGAATAAAGTCTCCGTTAAACTTGTCATCACATTGTCAAACTCAACACAGCTACTGTCGAGTTAAAAAATTCATTTCTGCGGCATTTTTAACTTAAAGTAAATAATATTTGCTTCATGTCAGATTAATTATACTTTAAATCAGCTAATATTCCTCAAATAAAGTTTCATAAAAATATGTTTTATTTTGGGAAGATTTTTTTTTAGTAAAGAGAATTACATTGCGATGAAAGACGACTAAAAAGGGGGCTAATCAGTTATTTTAGTTAAAAAAAATTAATTAAATTCTTTCCAGTCAATTTAAATTAGTTTTTGTAGTACAACAAAGCATTTTGCTTATTAAACATATTAAATGTATTCTATCAGCTTGAAATTAAAACTAAAATAAAAGCTTCAAGAAATCTTTTTCCATTTTTAAAAATTCATTTAAAATCTTAGATATCGCGTTTTTATGTGGCGGTCCCTACTTTAAACGTTATTTTTTTTAGTGGATACTTGTCGGAGAGCATATTATTTTTCTTTAATAAGATTCTCGAATATCCAGGCCGGTAGACAAAAATAAATAAATCTACTGTTTAATAAATAAACGGAACGTCTACTCAAATATCAGGTCATCCCATAATTTCTGTCCGAATTTTGAATAAAGAAAACAAGTGACCAAATGTTACATTTAATTACAGATTCAATCAACAATGTATTTTCCCTGATTATCTATGACTTTCTTCCATCTATTAACAAGCTTACTAATTCCATTACTGTAAAATTCTTTTGGCTTTGATTCGAAGAACTCACAAATGTTAGTTTTAACCTCTTCCTGTGTTACAAAAGCTGTTTCTTCCAAATGATTCTGTAAGCTACGAAACAAATGGTAGTCTGAAGGAGCAAGATCGGGAGAATAAGGTGGATGATGAATTTTCTCCCAACCAAGTTCTTCGATCTTTTATGACGTGATTCTTGC